AAAATGCGCGGTCAGGGTCAAGAGGTGGACCAAACAAAGTAAGGCATATATATATATATATTTCGTGGTCTATTCACCAATATATATATAATTATAGAGGTCAGACCTATTCATACCTATGTCTATTCGCCAATATATATATATATATGTAATTATAGAGATCAGACCTATTCATACCTATAGATCTTCCAACTATATGCATATTGCCTGCCTTTTGGTTGGTTTTTATGAAAGAACAGGCATACATTTTCCATATTTTTGCATAGTTGGAACATCTAGGTGTATATATATATATACACAGAATATATGTGGATGTGGCACGAAATGGGGGGAAGGGGACGTTCGAAGTATGAATGATGATGTATATGGCAGTTTTGGATTGCTTTCTGCGAGAAAAGGAGGTGTTTTCTGCCCTAGCTTAATTTTTGATGTTTCATCATTCATTTGCATTTCTCTGTGAAGTGATCTTCTACTTGCAACTGCCTCTTTCAGCCTATTTACAAAACCAACATATGTTTATCTTCTAAAATACTGCACTGCACTATATGTATAGTACACTATGTATACTACACCTTTGCTCGGTGTTTGGGATCAGGCGCTCAGGGCATCAACAAGTTTGCACTAAGCCTGCTGGAGCCTGCTGGTGGGGAGGCCGAAACTCGTCCAAAGGGCCGGTCATTGGTCCGGTCGCCCACCGGTCGCCGACCGGACGACCTACCGAGGCGTCTCCTGGCGCCGCGCGGTCCGCCTGTCACGAGCGAGCCTTGGTGGGTCGCTGTCGCGCGACGCACGAGGCACCGCGGGGCGGTGTCAGAAAAGGGAACCGGCGGAGACGGGAGACAACGCACGGATAGAAAAGGACCGACAGCAGAACATCTGTACTTCGCGACAGGTGATGGAAAAGATGTCTTTAGAGCCGGGTCCATATTCGTGTCCATGTTGGTTCGTTTGGGTAAGGCTTTCTTTCATGATACAGTTCAAAAGCGTTGAGTTCATGTTCCAAGTTTCCTGCTAAGTCTGTGATGGGCAGACCATTTCTTACACTGGGTAGCCATCTACAGTTCTACCACCAATACAAACCGCAAAATACGCCAAATCAAGTTCCTTCAACTCCCGAAAAAATACGCCAAATCAGATGGGACACACCTACCAAATTTGCTTCAGGGCCTGGGCCCGGCACGCTTTTCACGGTCCACTCCTGGGACGTGGCGACTCAAGGGTACTAGTTACAGTACGAGTTAGAAAGGACCCACAATCCCCAATAGATTATGGATATACCTATGGATTTTCCATGATCTTCCAACTATGCCACATGCCTGCCTCAAATGGCTGGTTTTTACAAATGAACTTATGCATAACATGGCATGACTTTTGCCTTGGAACATCTAATATGATGATCCCACAGAGTGTTGAGCTTTCCTCTGTGTCTCACATGTCTCGCCTTAATCCTTCCAAGTGTTCTCGACGTTGGGAAATAACACAGGTTCTGAAGCTTCGGACCCAGCGCCTCGACCTATCATACCCTTTCAAGAGCATGAGTCCAAGCCCAAGACCATTTTTAGAATGGTTGACCTGTTGTAGTGTAAAACCCTTGGTAAAACAATGGTTCTTCGGTCTCTCGTTTGCGGAACCATTGCATCAATGGTGGGCCAGGAAGCCTAGGGCCGTTTGGGTTCTACCCAGCTTTTGTTTTCAGGAACACCATCAGCTACAACGCCTCCATCAGCGCATGTGAGAAGGACGGCGCCTGGGAGGCCGCAACCACGCTCCTGGCCTCTGGGACAGCACGGATGGAACGTCCACCCCACAGATGCCATGACTTGGGTGCTGGAGTTCTTCTTTTGGCTCCATTCCTTAGATGCATCTACCAGGACACCCGGACCAGGGGTGTCTATTGATAGCCGGAGGTTAAGAGCCAAGGGGTGTCCATTAATCACCCCGACAGTGGGTCCTAGTATATATTGCTCAGTAACAGGGGAAATTGAGACTCAGTATTTGACGAAGCGAGTGCTACATAACAGGGCTTTGAACATCTTCCGTTTTGGTACCCTCTGACTCACGTTCCAGGGTTACGTGGATGGCAGCTGTTTGTCTTCGGAACATGGTCTTCGGAACTCGTGGCCATGCGTTCTCCAGAACTTCCATGTGATGTGTTCGTCGGAGTGCAGATGACAAGGTGAAGTCCATGGCAGATGACAATGGTGAACATCAATGAACAAACCGACGCGTCGATTCAGTGAGACATCGTGAGACCACCAGATGTGATGATTTAGTTGCTGCCCCGAAAATTCCATGCCCCGCCGGCGTTGAGATTCGACCCCAACCGCAACGAGACACACCCGCAACGGGACAACGTTGGTTTGGTGATCTCCATCGTTCGGTGCATTCAATCAATGCAGCTCAGATGGGTCCCGAAGATCCATAGATGGGTCCCGAAGATCCATAGATGGGTCCTGAAGATCCATGCGGACTCTCCATGCTCTTTCGGTGAATGTCTTGAATGACCGCGTGATCGGTCTCGGTCTTTGGGTGATCCTTTTGGTGCCACCCATGTCGTTTTCGCCTCCTGCCCTTCTTCACCTGAAGAAACGGTGTGGGCGTTTTTTCACTCCATCTGTGGACTCCCAGGCGAAGATGGAGGCGCCTCGGCTCTTGGGCCGTTTGTCGCTTTGTACCGGGTACAGCCCTTGGGGCTGTTCAAGGGTAACACCGTCCGTGTTTTCGGTTCTTGCGATGGGGCCTCCATGGGCACTGGGTTCAAGTGGAGAATACACATTTGGACATTGGATTGTTGCTTTTTTCATTGCAGCCGAAAGGAGCAAGAGCACACCGACACTCATTCCTCTAAAAACACCAACGGTGATATGGCGCTTAAGGAGCGTTCACCGCTCTTGGAGGAGAGGACCCAAAAGAGATGGGGGAGGATGGGGGGAAGCGGCTTCACCATTAAGTTCACATGACAGAGCGGCATCTTTGGTTGATGCAACCCGGCAAGCACCTTTTCGTGCGCCTTTGGTTTTCGTGTGTTCCTTTCACATTTCACGGGGCCTTCTGCCCAACCAACACCTCGTCCAAAGAACGGGGGACACCCCGGGTGTAGCACGCGTTCTTTCGAGGCCTCCTTGGTGCGAGTGGATCGGGTGAGTCGGAGGGCCCAGTTGGTGCGCCGGCGACGCCGCGGCGGGGCCGCGGTGGGAGACCGTGGGGTGGGCGGAAGGCCTTCTTTGGGGGAGTGCAAAGGATGGAGGAACTGCCAAACTCGATATAAGTAGACCTATGTAGATTTTATATAGATCATCCTAATTATGAAATTCTTTTGAGTAGGTCATCTTTTGTAATTTTCATGGGTCGGATGGGTTGGAGAGAGACTCAGGACGTTCTTGTTTGAAGGCAGGTTTTTGGAGCTGAAACAGGACCGTTTTTGGGTGGCAGGAAGGGTTGAGCTGCATTGAGGATTGTCTAAAGATCTACACTCCCTGGAATCATCATGGATTACCATTTTCCTGTACAACACAGGAGGTTCTCCACTTCCATCATTCCAGGGGAGTGCATTCATTTGCTTCACTTCCATGTGTTTACTTGGGTCCGTCCTCCCCTCAACCATTCCCCAAACGTCTCGCGTCGTGAAAAAGAACACGCCAAAGCAACACGTCGGAAGGGCACGGGCGAACAAAAACGCCCCATTGGACCAAGAGAAGCGCCGCGATCCCTTCGCTGTTTTTCGGTGGCTATAGACCCTGAAAGTCCAAAGACTATACTTTGCCTGAGTGAAGTAAAGAAAATTCCCTTTCAGATTCCATAAAGATCATTTTTTGTATAGGCTTTGACTTGCAGGGTAGACATCCATTCCAGAATCTCCCACTCATCTCCCTCGATTTCGACGAAGATGTCCAATCCTTTCGTCTTCACCAATCACGTCCTGAGGCTTCAATGCCCTGCAGTCCGCTCTGGGCTCCGTCGCCCAGTGGCGCGCGGCCATCGACCTCGGGTCAGGTGGTCTGCGACAGGCGCACCGGGGTGGGTGGGAAGCTGGAAGTACTGTAGGGGAGTTAGACCAACAGAAGTTTGAAGAACACTGAGTGCACCCTCTGCTTTTGTTGGCGTGAAAGCCTTTTTGGAACATGCTTCCCGTGAAAGATGGGTCACTTAGCTTCTGAAACCCCAACAGCCCAACAGCTTCCTGGCTGTCAAGCGGTGGACTTGTCTTTTTTGTGTTTTGGGAGGGCTGGAGCTTGGTGTAAAATGCATTGAGAAGCAGTCAGTGGGCGCTGAGTGACGACAGATCCCTAGTCCCATTTTGCTGTGTGAGAATCGACATGATGATAAATTGGTTGTTTTTATTTTTATTTTTTGTGTTGTTGCATGGCTCATCATGGAAATTGGTGACCCAGATCTTCTTTCCGAAAGGGCATCAGCCATGTGGCCAAACCTTGCAATCAGTTCTTGGCAGGATGCCATCACACTGGGCACCCTGCTGGCAGGATGCAAAGAAGGCAGGAGAGGGATTGCTGGTCAGGGAGAAGAACCCATCTGGGACCTCTTCACATCGTCCTGGAGGACCCTGGACGAGGTTTTTCTCGAGCAATGAGGTGGAATGGATTGATGTTTCAGCCATCGGGGTCTCGAGGATCCCTCAGACTCGGGACACGCAATGAGTGAAGCATTTGTAGCCTCTCAAGCAAACCGATGAGGCATGTTTGGGCCTGAACTTTTGACATCGATCAGGATCTCACTGATTTGTTTGATGCCTCGATTGCTCTGCTCAGCCGCTGCGTTGTGTTTCAGGCTGTGCAGTTGAAATTGAACGCCAAAATACATTCCCCTCAAGATCTGCGCCCAGCTTCTCGGGGCCAGCGGATTCTCACATCCAGGTGGGGTAGTTCATGAGTCAAAACCAAAGTACTGGCTAAACCACCCACTGTAGTCCTTCATTTTCCACTGGGTTTCATCCTTTTTCTGTTCGACCCTGGCAGCGCCGAGACCGCGCGCCGCGCGCGTGCGCAGGCCACCAGTGGCCCTTGGCCGCACAGCTCCTCTTCACGGCGGACTGGTCGCTGCCCCGGCGGTGTGGCTCGGCGCCGGCCGTCGGATCGGCAAAACAGGTCGTTCGAAGTAGCAACGGGTCGAGCGATCCGACCAACATTTCTTGACATTGTCTGAGCGATTCGACCGACATTCTGCCGAGCGGATTTTGTGGTGCGGATTTCTGTCAGCGAATCTATTCACTATGTATGATGACGTCATATATAGAGATCAAACCTATTCATACCTAGATCTTCCAACTATGCAACGCTGATGCATTTTCATTTAAACAAAACACCAAACAGGTAGAACATTCACATAGTTGGAAGCTCTTATATATGATCATAGTCTGCAGTCTGCAGATGATGACTCCATGCTTTCTCGTCAAAAAACTCTGTTCCGGAACTGGTCCAGCGACCGGTTAAGACGGGGTCGCTGACGGAGTCGCTCCGACCTCGTCGACCCCGTCTTCCAAACCCCGAGCGACGCGAATGGGGTTGATTCTTCACCTCCAAAAAGTTCCACCATGTTCGCCCTCAACGCCATGAAACATAGAGGCTTTTCAATGGGTTTTCAATGGTTCTCATATCGAACAAACAAACAAACAAACAAACACATATGGAAAACCAGGTCTTTGATGGCTTGTAGGGCTCCTGGTTCCACCCAATTCTACCCAACAAAGGGCCCCCAGCAGTTGCACCCAAATCGCCCACTCAGTCGCTCCGCGCGACTGAGCAAGACGACGTTTTCGATGCAAGGCTACAATGCCTGCTTGAGCGTTTATGAGCACTGCTGCTTTTGGAAAGATGCTCTAGTCCTTTACAGGCGGGGCCGTTTGGTGGTTTTGGACATAACTGGCTTGGAAAGGGTGTTTTATTCATCCACATCCTCAACTGCGCGTGCGTGATGTGAGGGTGGTTGGATTAGGTTGCAGTGGTCTTGACTGGCTCACCCAACCCGCAGGTGGTTCCACTCGGACAGATCCAACCTGTGCGGTTTGTGGTTATGAGGATTTGGTTCATCAACAGCGCCCAGCAAATCAATTTACTCTCCCCCCTTCATACCGAACCAGCGGTCTACGTTTGCGGAGTAGTATAGCTCTGTCCACTGGATGATGCTCACCGGCGAACTTGTGGAAAATCACGGAAGCTCGCTGGCAGCGCCGGCTGCGTCTGGCTGGGCACGTTTGTCACAACGGCAGAGACGACGAGACGGGGGGTGTCACAACGCCCGCCGCCCAGTCGGACCCTGCACCGACTTCCTTCCCGGTGCGCTGTAGGTCCGAGGACTGTTCGATGAGGTCTCCATGAGTGGCCATCTTCGCGTGAGCGAAATGAGCGCCCAATGCTGGCTGGGATGAATTTCCGGGTTTGAGGGGCGCCAAGAAGCTGGTGGCGCCTGCCACAAGCTTCTTGCCCAGTGGGTAAGGCAGCATCCGCATGTTCGGCGTTTCAAGGTGCTCTCCGAGCAACTTCCGCAAGTCCAGACTGGAGCAAAGTGCACCGTGACGGGGTCAAGTTGGGTTCCAGTTTCCAGTTTTCCCATCCTGTTTGGGGGGGTTGGTGGAACTGTGCATTGAGTGATCAATGAGTTCAATTCTTACACTCCCGAAAACTAACATGGAAGTGGATGGCACTACCTGTTTGTAGTGGATTTCATGGTCTTCCGAACTCGGGGCCATGGCATCCACGTAACCATGTGGTCGTTCCAGGGAGTGTATGGAAGTCATGAACTTGACCTTGGCCTTGGGAGGCATCTGTGCCTTGCAGTGGGTGCAGATGAAGTCAGTAGCTTGGCAAAGTGGAATGGGAAGCCCCACAAGACCCCCAGCCTTGGAAGATCTCTGCTGAACTCCGAAAGGTACACTCAAATACTCTTTCATGGATTCAGTCATTACCTGGTCTTTCATGGATTCAGTACGTCTTTGGGGGAATCGCTCCACACCCAACGTCACCACGTCCCCCACCCCTCAGCGTGGCGAACTTCCGTGGCGCCACTGAACTTCGGTTCAGAGCCATTTCCACGTTGACTAACATGTTGGTTGTCAGAACTGGTGAATTTGCCGGTTTGTTCTCTTTATTCGATCGTCCCGAAACATCTTGGATGCCGCCGAGGGCGGAGCATCTCCGGACGAAACGACGGAGACGAACGGAGACGACGGAGTCATTTCTTTTGACCAAACTGAGATCCAGAGACCTGAAGCAGTCGGACCCGGAAGAACCTATATGGGATAGTCACAGTCGGAGAACCAGTCGGGTCCGGAAAGACCTCTGTTGGTCAATCTGGGGCGACCCAGGGCTCCCCAAAGAACCTACAGAATCTGCCAATCTGAACCCTACCAGCTCTTCTCAAAAAGCTGGACTTCTCTTTTATAATATAGCCTCCTAAAATGAACACACGAAGAAGAAGAACACCTCACCTCACCTCCAGACCTCTCTGTCCCTCTCCGTCCAGATCAGTTCGTCTCGCGCGAGGCCTCAACGCTCTGTCGAGCGCCTTTGCGTCCGCCGGCCTCTGGGCTCGGGCGTGGGCGCTCCTGCGCACGATGCCTGAGGTGCGGACGATGCCTGAGGTGAGGTAGACCGTGCGGACGAGGTCATGAGGTAGACCGTGAAGGGCTGGAACAGAAGGAGCTTGGTGTATGAGGTTATAGGCTAGGCATATTCTAGTTGTATGACATAAGGAGCTTAGGTGGAGGAACGTACAGGCGATCGAACCTCATAGAGAGTCCACATGTTTATGTGACTTGCAGGCCTTGCGACTTCTCTACCAGGGGGCCGAAACAGACATCATGCCTTGAGAAAACCGAATTCAAAAAGACAGTTTCTATGTGAACACCTGCTCTGTTTCATCGCTGGCGCGCCGAACAAAACACACGTCTACCTTCTTTTGGTCCGAGAGCGGCGCGAAGACTTCGATCCCACAGATCCGACACGTGCCCGACGAGATCAGCTACAACACAGCGATGGACGCCTGCAAGACAGGCGGGGAGCGACCGCACCAAAGAGACTTAGGAATATGTCATGAGTAACAGTCATTTGTTGACTCACACGAAAATGTAGTCACACGAAGGTTTGCCTGAAGAGGTTTCACAGTCCATGCTTCTATCTTTTTTAAACGAATCAAGAATCTCTATTTGTGTCCCAGGAATATGGATTATTCACCCTTATGGACACACGTGCCCCCAAGTCCCTCAATGTTAGCTGTCGGAGCGAACCTAGGTGGGCGCTGGTTGGTGGCTTTCTTCCAACTCGCTTCTTGCTCGAATTCACACGCACCTGGTGCCTTGTCTTGGGACGTTCGTGTTTAGAAGACCCGCTATCTTGACACCAATCCTTTGGCTGGAGGCTGCGTTCGTGTCTCCAATCGACTCATCTCTGCATCTGCACGCCACCGACGACCGGCATTGACCCTTTCACTCCCTGAAACCCACGTGGTGGAACCTCCGCGACGAACCGCCGTGACGATCGTGGTGGTGTTGAGGTGTGATCAGCTACAACTCCGCTCTCCACAATCTCCACTCTGCCACCGCATGGAACCTGCCACTGGGCGTCGAGGTCGCATCATCGACGCGACGTTTGGTTGTTCAGCCACGCAGAAGGAGCATGCGTGGTGGGGGGGGAAGGCGTCATGGATGGAAAGAAGAGAAAGTTATGATAATGTTCCTGCTTTTCACCGGATCCACCCAACGTTTTTTGTAAGGGCGCGTTTGTCTATTTTTTGTGTCTAATTCAATTCTGGAACAGTCCTGTCACCCAGTCGCCTCTTTGGTGTAAGCTGCAGGGACATGGGGGTTTATGGGGCCGGTCTGGTTCGGTTTGGACTGGCCAATATGAAACAGTCATATTGTCCATGTCTTTCCAAGAGTGGGCGAGGGAAATCGAGGGAGAAGGAGAAATACCTGGTATGACCAAGTCACTCAGTCTCACATGATCAGGCTTTAGCATTGCTTCTCTAATGTCAATGATGTATAGTGAAGGAAGGGGATGGATTTGTCAGAATGTCCCCAACCCAATATCTTATACCTTCCCATGTGAAGACTCAGACACTGGAGCGGAATGGAACGTTCCTATCATATCTGAATGTCTTCTTCCTGCACCTGACTGCTGCACGTCCTGGATGTAAACCTGTCCAAGGTCCGAAGGTTGGATCCGTTCCACCCGTCTCTTTACAGGGCTCAGGCGTTGTCCGATCTCAATCGGATCCATCCTGGGAAACTAGCACTGAGCACCGACTCTACAGGTCGGATGGCGACATGGAGACTTGTTAACGTCTTAAATACAGTGGCGGGTGGTGACATGGAGACAGGGTACCTGGTAGTCCTCGTGTCAAAATCAACCGTTTCATCTCTCCAAGCCGGCCAATGCCACGAAAGCATCGTCCACTTCCCCACTCTTTTTCGGACGCCGAGATGCTGGGCGCTGCTACAAGAGATGTGCTGCTCACGTGTCGCGCCCAGTGTGGTCACCTTGAACACAGGTGCGGCACACACCGGGAGTCACTCGGGGGGGCACTTTTTCGGGCACGACGGGCACGACGGGCACTTTGGCGCACGTCGCCGCCCGCTTTTTCTTTCCCGATCAAGACATGGCGTTTTGTTTGTATCGATTGAAGAATGGCTAGACCCACAAAAGGGCCAGCTATACCACCACTTGCTTGTTGCTACCTGAGTATGTACAGTAGAGGTTCGCTTGACTCAGTGGTTGGAAATCCTTTGAAGAATGGCCAGCAGGAATGCAAGAACCACTGCAACAAACTATTGCACCACAAGCGCCCCCCCTTGGAAACAAGCATCATTGAATTATAGACTCTTCCCTGCGAAGTTCCCGACTTCTTCTCTTTATGCCAAGTTCCCCAAACGTCGCAGGTCTGGCACTTCACGAGAGGCAACCCCATGCATGGCCCAAAGCCGTTTGGACGCTGTGAACTGCAACGGCCGTGGAGTTGGCGAGTCGGTGTGGGGGGGGCGATCTGGCCCTGAGGCTCCTGGCCCACCTCCGTTTCGACATGTTTCGAAGGTGGGCCAGGGGTGCCAGGGGGGGGTCGAATGCCACCAAGCCTGAGGATATGGTTGGAGGTGTAAGTCTTGCAGGCTGGCAATGCTTGGGAAACACGAAGACGTGGTGCAACGTGAGCCGCGTGCTCCCTTGGGCTCCCAGGGAACCTGGGATGTTCTGCAATCTTGGGCAAGTCGACCAGGGTGCTCTGGACGCGGTGGCGCATGTGATTCGGTGCAAGATCTGAAAAAGTGGACCCCCTTCGATGGGCCGCCTTCTTGATCCTTTTTTTCCATTTCGGTCGTCTTTTTTTCTGCGGACCACTGGGGGCGGTTCCGTTCCTGAAAAGAAGGTACCCATCAGGGTGGAACATGCAGGATGAAACAGGCTTGGAGTCCGATGTCGATTTTCAGGGCCATGTCACACGAAACCAGCAAACATGCATCAGGTTGATTCCCAATTCTTCCCTTTTGGAGCATCCAAACATGCATCAGGTTGATTCCCAATTCTTCCCTTTTGGAGCATCCATCCGTTGATTTCCCATTGATGCTAGCATCAGATTACATTGCAACCAGGTGATTTCAGGTGAGAGGTTCCCCCGGTCCAGCTTCCACGGCTTCAACGTGAGAGAATCAGGATGCTCTTCAGCATGTCCCGCTACAGCTGTCGGCAGGATTCCATTAGTTTCTTGGGCGGTGGACCATTCTTCCCACGGTGGGAGCGTGGATCGGGCGGGTTGGAGGCGCTGTTTACCACGAAACTCGGAACGGGCGATCGGATACGATTGTTCCTAGTCTTGCGATCGCGTTTGGAACTAGGGATTTGTGTTCGCCGGGTCGTTTCCACGTTTTGTTGCAAACTTCTCCCCCCCAAAAGCACAACTGGATGCCCTCCCAGCAGTTGGATGATGCATTCAAAGAAGTCATCTCCAGAAACTCCAGCCGAGCCCATTGACCCACGGACTTGGCGAACCCCCATGTCAGCCAGCCGAAGTCCAGTCGACCATCAAAAGATGATCCTTAGGTGATCCGAAAGCTTCCATGGTGCCAAACATAGTCGAAGTGACACCACCACCTGGGAAGCACGTTTTGCTTGGCATCACCACCTGGGTGGGAGGACAGTCGATCTGGTTTGGTTGGTGGCTGAACTGACTTCGCGAGGTCCCGCCTCCCATCTGGGGTCCCCTTACCGCGTTCCGTGCAGTTTCATCTCGCAGGACGTTTTGTTTCTTCATGGTTTGCCTGCGGTGTGTATTAGAATAGGGAGACCGACCTCCCACTTCAACCTCCTGCGAGGTTCGGAAAGACCGCAACACCCAATTTGGGCCAGGGGGGGAGTTCCTTAAAATACCAACCCGACCTAAACTCAACCAAATTGGACTGGATGTCAGCGGTTTTCTTTGAGGCCCATGTTTTAAACATCCATGTCTTTTGTTTGATCCGTAAGACAGCCAGTAAGCTACCTGAACCTACCTTCCACCTGTACACGGTCTTCTCCATGCAGTTTTGCAGAGGATTTGCTGCCTTTTTAAAACATCCATGTCAAACTGAGTCAAACTCATCCCTCAATCGCTGCTCAATAAAGGCTATGCGGTATCCACACCCTGGTGCCGAAGTCGCCAGCTGCTGGAGCATGCTCAAAGCAAGACGCTGACCCCTTCGCCGGCGGCGCTGGGAGCAACTTGGCGATGGAAGGAGGAGGGGGTTGGAGTCCTCTTAAATAGATAGACTAATAATGACTAATAGGATTCCTGGCGCACCATTCATTTACTGTATACAATTAGGCATTAACAGAACCATGGACCATGATGGTTTTACTAGGATTCTACACCACACAACCAGGTGAACCATCCTTTTTTTGGTCTTTGAAGGGCAGGGTATACTGTAGAATCTTGATGAATACAACCCCCCATGTGAAGAGACCACTAAAGAGTCGTTCCCTGCGTGTCATCTCGGAGTCCTTTCGATACATGGTTAAGCATATTCAGACATTCTCGGGGTCCAAAATCTTCCCTGCCTATAGTCAGCAAGGAGCCACAAGTTTGACTAGATGACTAGACTTGGATTTGCCATGGATCAGCGATGTGGCATATCTCGACGTCCCCAATTTCCTGATTCAGAACATGTCTACAAATGGATCCATCAAATTGTGCTCACGCTCCCACATAATCTGCCATATAACACGGAGATTGACATCCCTGTTATACCTACCTTGCATCCAAAGCCTGTGTGGCCGGACTGGCCAGAGATTTCTTTGGCCAATCGGGAGAACTTCTCTAGACTCCTCCGTAACCATATGGCTAGGAAGAAAAGCTTGGACCTAATTCACCACCCGGAACCTAATTAGGTACGTGTCTTAGACAACCTGGTGTGCATCCGATAATTTGCTTGATGGGACCCATAACTTTTGCCATTTCTTCTCTTGTGTTCGTGCTGCATGTTGCCCTGGTAGTCTTTTCTTAGCGATGGTAGTGTACATAGTTTCTTTTGTTAAGGTGTCACCATCGAACAGTCGAACCCGCTCCACCCGTGGGCAAGGGTCGGATGGTGGGAGTGAGTCTGCAAGTCCGTGCATCCACCCCTGGGGGGTCTTATTTATCAAGATTCTACCTGAAAAGGCGATGTACTTCAATCGAGTGGGGGCAACGCTCCCATGGTTACGTACGCTGCGCGACTTGAAACGGCACGCGTGGGCGCCCACGCGTGGTTCATGGCATGAGCAGCTCGCCCTCCCGGAAATCCGGGATGGGATGCCTGATGCCGTTGATGTGCAGACTCCTGCACCACCTTGGCTCCTTTCCCTTTTCCTCCTTTCCTTGTGGATAAGCTTCTTCGTTAACAATGCACGACGGTCTAAGCAGGCCACGACCTGCGTACTCGTGGTTTCTGGACTGACCAAAGCAGTATCGATCGCAAGGGCGTCACACTGTCCACAGCAGTTTGATTCTCCTGACCTTTGTAGTAGCTGGCCCCACCCATATCCAATTTGATCATCTTTGATCTCATTTGGGATATTTTAGTTATATTTTGGTGTCTTTAACTTTGACTCCCTTTGCCTCTTCTCCGCCCAGGCAATGGTCTCTTCGATGCCCTTGGTTTTGTGGCGCCAAAGCCTTTACTTCTACCACCATGTGCGCGGGGCGGCCACTGCCACTTGGTTCTTCGAAAAGGACCCCAGAGGTCACGTTGAGTGACCCAAAACGACCCCTACCAATTCACTTGGCTGGAGGAGTTGGTCCACACTTCTTGGAAAAGCCAGAGGGTCCACACTTGTGGTATGGCAGCAACAAGACAACAGCATGATTTGCGGCAGTTTGCTTTTTCATTCTGACCTTTGAAGCCTTACCAATTCAAAACCAATGTGCAGAAATAAAATCTGCTAAAAACGCGCTCCTTCCCCCTAACTTCCAAAGAACAAGTGTCGAACGAAGACCCAATTTCGGACGAATTCACCTCTCAACACTATCGCCGAAACCTGACCCCCAGATGCTGAGCCGCCTCCGTGCCTGCGACGCCGTTGCCGCGGCGCATGCCGCGAACGGCGCCGCGGCGCCCCTGCGTGCCCTGCCAGAGATGCTGGAGGGCGTGGCCGGCGCGATGCAGGAACTGCGGAAAAAGAGGTGGCCGTTCTTGCGCGGGAGAGAGGGTATAGATATAGGTTCTGAATGGTGATGATATGATTGGTTCATGGAGCTTGGGTGACCACACGGTGATGTTCCCGTGTGTTTTTTCCCCAAGCGCTTGAATCGACATTTTACAAATCCAGCCGCTAAGACCGGACCGAAGATCTCGCTGCGAACAAGAAAGGGGATTCGCTGGCTATGACCGAATGATCTCGAGATGACCGATTGATCAGGGGGTGACCACGACGACCTGTAGATTGGAAGATTTGTCGCCCGAGCACCACCCCAACTGATCGGTCAATAGGCCCATGGAGCGTCTGGGTGCCAAACATTTTGACGTCTAAGAACTTGTCCCGGTCGGGTCATCCGGGCAGGTTGCCAATGGATTGTGGGTGAATTGGACCAGATCGATCCTAAATAGGTCAGACCGTGGTTTTCTTTGCGCATCCGAAATTCGATCAGGCTGGACTTGTGGAGTGCCGGTGATTTGGGTGCCTAGTTTGCCCCAAACTCCTACCGTAGGTCGCAAAGGAGGCCGAGGACATGTCTTGGAACGTCTTCCTGACGACCGGCGGTGGTTTTACGGCTCAGAACTCGAGACCCGAACGTCGTCGAGTACGTCCCAACGAGTCCAATTTCCAGGCATGGAGTTGGAGTTGGAGTTGTTTCAGACGAATTTGGGCCAGACTCCAACAAAGGGATCGAAAGGACAAGCTAGCCAGCGGAAGAGCTTTGGAATGCAGGGAATTGACCAGCACCTATTTGGCAGCCCCTGACGCCACAAGTTCCGGGTTGTGAGGGAAGGCTACTTGTAGCATCTTGCACCTGTTTACTTGGCAGACCTTAATGTAGACTCTTGATGAAGAAAGCCCCCCAAGCCTGAAGAGGTTTTACATTGTTTTACAATCCATGCCTGTGTTTTTTGTTAATCAAGATGCTGCATAGAGCATCAGCGTGAGTTTCTTTGAGCAGCAAAATCGACCTGAAGACAGCGAGGCTATAGCGGCTAGGGGCTTTGGGAGGAAGCCCGATGATTCAGACATTGCTGTACTATGCTGTGCTGGTATTGATCGATGCAGAGTACATGTTTGTTGGAGATTGTCCTAAGACTTTGACAGAACATGACAGAACTTGAACAACAGAAGCATAATTTGATTAATTAACGTCTTTGAACGGCTCCGGGTCAAAAACTCGAAGCCCCAAACCTGAGTTGTACGCACAAAAACGTGACCATCCCCAACTGGCCCAGACTCATCAGGGGCCAATCCTCCAAACGGCTAACACCTACCAAGCTACAAACCAACGCCTCACTGAGCGGGTGCAAGACAACGCTGGACCGTCCGGACCTGTCCCAACTCCATCACCACAAGTCGTTGCAGCTTGTATCTGGGGACGAACCCTATCTAAAGCAGTCTGGGATGTTTTTTTGACAACTTCCATGGCCCTCCAGGGTCACTACCATCTAAAGGTGACTTGGGCCTTAGTTGGATTGAGTTAGCAATTTCCTTTGTGTTGGCCACAGGACTGTCCCTTCCAATCTGTCTTCCGGGAATAGGCCACACAGAAGCATTTCTGATTGACTCAGACAAAATCCAGTTGCTGCCACCCGGCCAGCGGTGCTTGCGGTTACAAGCGGAAACACTCCGCAATATAGTGCAAACACTTCAATCTTTAAGTCGCCAAACGCTCGTTCCAGCTTTTGCTAAATCCAATTGCCGTAGCCTTCTACCCCTTCAGTTTGAAGTTAAGCACGCCTCAGGACCGGCATGCCGCCCTAACCTTCCCAATTCCGTGGAAACTATGCAAGCACTTCAGACCTACATTGATGATCTCGATTGCGATCCCCCTTTTCACTCCAACCGACCATTTCACCTGCCGCTCCAAGTGCCGATTTGAGATCATGAAACTCTTGAAGAAATTCCGTTCAAACAGAGATACGTTTTTAGTGATAAAATTCGTCGCTTTTGGACCTAGAGCTTCCAATGATACACATAAATGTGTACCATTATATTTCCGCGTGTTTCCCAAAAAGCTGTACCACTTGAGGGGTCTCAAGAAAAAGGTGTACCACTTGGTTTGGTTGTTTGATGCTGTTTGGACATGGATGGTCCCATCCTTTGTAAAGCGCACATCCACAGATGCTTTTTCACTCATCTTTCAGCCATCCACGCTTCCGCCAATGGCGCTTGTAGTGAAGCAATGCTTTTTGCATTGTCGTGACACAAATGCAGAATGAATGGGAGCGTCTCGAAGCACGAGCTACCTGCAAAACACGCAAACATACTGCGCATACTGCACGTAATTATCAAGCATGCAAGTCAAACTGCAACTGCATTTATGCAACCACAGTGCTCTTCCAATGAAGTCCTCATCTTTCCACGTGGCAAAGCCTAGCAAAACAAGTGGGTGGGTGGAGGTTTGGGACTCGGGACCTATCCATGCATGTAAAAAGTATTAAGCAAGAAGCAGTTCGGCGACAGAACCAGCGCTGCTCCACGTGACAGCTGGTCTTGCATCCATAGCCTCATTGCATGAGTGGCATGCATGAAAACATGACTGCATTCTTGTCATGCGTTAGGACGACACGCATGCGTGAGAGATGTCCAAAGCATCCATGTTCCATGCGTGAGATATTGTCCCCTATAGCTATAGCTCCATGCGTGACAAGTTGTGCATGCATGGTGCCTGCTTGACAAGTTGTGCATGCGTGACAAGTTGTGCAAGCCAGTGTTGAACCTAAGATTTCTGAAATATTATGATTTTAAAGTTTGGACTTTGCACTCATGGTTGGGTGACCAGACCCAATTTCCATCTGCATGTGCACCTTCGGGATCACAGAAAAGTACTTCCACTGCCTCTTCTGGCACCAGCATCCCAATGCTGTGAAGCCTTCCTTAGGTCTTTTAGCAGGACTCTACTACATGCTTTTCAAGCCCAATCATCCCTGGTTGCAATCATCAACACACAGCAAAAACATGGGGGCAATGCATTCAAGGTGCGCAAAAGTTCTGTATCGCTTGCACTGCTTGCTCGGCCACCTGCTTGGGAATCCACCTTCCCTTGATGCAACCAAAATACAGCTTCACGTTCTGAACCGTGAACTGAAGAAGCGCCATCAGGTCAGATTCAGTGGCCTCAAGGCTAGATGCATGGCGCAGCAAACTCCTTTACAGCTTTGAAGGGTAAGGGCTCGGCATGGGCTGCGTTGAGTGGCCCTGTCTCCATCAACCACTGAAGCCACTTTCCCACAGTCGCTGTGTCTGATGCCTTTCCATGCAGACGAGGCTTGTCGTTCAGCCTCATCAGAGCCAAGCAACATCACATCACTTGCTATCGTCATGAAAGGAGACTTGGACCAGTACGACTTTGCGCCAAACGTCTTCTTGAGGTCAAATTGCAAAATCGATGTGACCACCTTCATCCGACGGCACCAAGACTTGAAGTGGACATAGGCTGCATTAAACCTCTGTCCAATAGTGTCTCCTTCAAACCACGCAAGCCGGCCAACGAGGAGAACCTCGCAACTTGCATATATGCAAGAAACATGCATGCGTTGATAGGACCACCTAATCATTGTCATCAGCGTCCAGATGCATGCATGACAGAAATGAATCATGAGTGTACACACCTTTGAGTCTCTACAAGTTCATCAAAGATGAGCCGAGACACTACCATGGATGCTGTGAACACCTGACCAACGCCCAGATGCCAAGTATGCATGGGGTCCGGTGGTGGCACACAAGGACCTGTACCAGGCACCATGTGTATGGATGCGCCCTCGGAAGCATCCGTTCCAGGCCGGGCCGCCCTCCAAGGCGCTCCAAGTGAAGAGTCCCACCAGCACTGCGACAGGCATAACAATTTGTTGAATGCACAAACGTATCATACACGCACGTCTTTTGATTTTGACCACTGCCTGTGATGAGCAGTAGTGGCAAACCCTTGTGCTAGCGAAGCCAGATGTCAGCAAATGACATTTTCCTCAGCTCAAACACACCTCTGGATGGCCTACAAAATGAAGACACAATCTTGGACACGCACGCTGCCAGGGCCAATCGCCCTTTACTCCAACAAAGCCGATTCGAAGCACAAAGCTTGACCCGTCAGGTCTGGTCACCTAAGAGAAGCAAGCCGATGGACCCATAATGGCTGCATGACCTCTAACCAAAGGCATGTGCATGAATGGTCATGAATGCCTGTCGCTGAAACAAATCACTCGCATGTCTCCAAGAATACTTAATCAAACGATAAGCCTAGACGCTTCCACTCCTTTCTCAAACAAATTCAGGAAGTCCTCTGCGATGTAGCGGTGCAAGCATTCGATAGTCTCATCACCATCAAGCGTCGCAGCGTAGCGTTCACCGGGTATAATGCTCAGTAGCAAGCGCGAGAGGAAACTATGTCCACAGTTGGTCTGGAGAAGCGGTTGGCAACTGAAAATCATCACTGCGCGCCTCAACTTACCACGGCCCTCATCTCCGTGGTATGCGAATGGCACTGTGGACTCAAGCCACGATGGAGGATGAGAGTAAATGTCATGTTCAGGATGAACTGTCTTGTAAAGCAACCAAAATGATAGCATCTCCCTGCGCCACGATGATTCATCTGCAATCAGCCTAAAGCCATTGAGAAGCATCTCCCCTGTTGTCCGGCTCACAATGTAGGCCAACCATGAACTCAGCAGCAAAAGAGGCCACGGCGCCCTCGTTACTGCTTCCTTGACTTTAACTGGTATCTCTGCATGGCTGATCTCCACAGGCAACGACAAGGTCCACCTCGTGATCAAGCGCTTCAAATTTCTTGAGAAGTTAGCCGGGTCTTTCCATTCAGCAATCGAGCTCAAAAGCTCAGATGAACATCCTCGGTAGCAAGAGCCACCCGCAGTAATTGCAGGATCAATGAACGGTTAAGCCCAGCACGTCCATCAAGACATCGGACAAACCTCACTGCTGATACGCATTGCCTTGCACCATCAGCCTGGCACATGCGTGAGTTCCCAAAGCCTGTCCCCAGTCCCGCAGTTCATGCCAGGCCAACCCCAGTCTCATAATGCGACAAGAGCTCATGAATAAGCTCTTGGTCCAGCTTCGTGTACCGATTCCCTCAGCGAGTGAATAAGATGGCACTGACAGCAGATCCCAACAGGTTATGTGTGCAAAGGTCATGCATGCAAAGGTCAGGTGAATGGGTCACATGCATGAATTCCTCAGAAAGGAAGCGCGGTGTCAACACTGAAAGCAGCAGCGCAAGGAAGCCTTATTCCCCAACGCATTCAATCATTCGCTGCAAACGTAAAATGATACATGATTGAGCAAACCTTGATGAAGCCGATTAAAAGCACACATGCATGTGCAGCACAGTCAAAAATAAGACCTAAGGCCAATTGATATGTCAAAGGTTTTTAGATCAGGTTGTAATGACATGCGCAAACATGGTCAGCTAAGTGTCAGGCACTTGGACCAATCGTCAGCCAGCGCAGGCAAGATCCAGCATGCCAGGTTCAGGGACGCAAAGGGGGCAAGCGATTTCCCACAAGATTAGTGGTTCCTTTTTTTGTGGCTCTAAAACAAATCAGAAGGACACACTTCATGCATGCACATGCGTGATCATACGTCATTTTGACAAACCTTTCCATGCGTGTACTGCGCAAACTCAATCATGTCAAAATAATTGTGCAAAACACTTCAAAAAGGCAACAATGAAGCACATGAGGTCCAGGCCAGGACCCATACCATGCTGCCTGCAAGACAGAGGTTAATGCACATTGAACTCCGCTAAAAGCTCAACCAACCCACCTCGATGAATTGACCTCACATTCCCCCCGGCTTTCGGCAACAAGATCTATGCCTGCACCAGCGCGTAAAACAATATGGAATATTGTCATGGGCGGTGGCAGTGGAAGGATATCTTGCACACATGAAAAAAACATGCATGCACATGAGATTTTCCACTCGGCTTCTTTCTGTCGTCATCAGGCACGAGCATGGACAGCAATGCAAACACTTTTCATCCCTCAGCAGCTGCTCAAATGGGTCGCTAACAAAAGTGAGATCACAATCACGGAACAACACATTCATGCATGCAAAAGGCTCATCTGGAGCTTCCATCATGGACTGAGCTTGGAGGTCAATGAGCTTCTCGTTAATTGCCACCAACTCCTTCAGCGGAGTAGAAATGCCGATGGACAGCCTCAGCCACGACATGTCCACATTGCCCACTCATTCAGCATCAACAAAGTTAATTGCATCCCCATCATGGTTGGTGCGCTGAGATTTTCCAGACCTATTCTCTTAGGCGCACACTCTTTTGCCGTTTTGTTCTCCGGGTACTGGTCCAGCTTATCCTCCAAACCAAAAGTCATACTTGCACTGATACAGATTTTCCTATAAGAAGAAGGTCTCCTTCATAGCGTTGGCTGAATCCAGCTTTTTCCCCAAAATGATCAAGAACTGGCCCAGCTGCTTGAACGGCGACACCGTCTGCTGCAGAGTTGGAAAGGAGACAGCATGGATCGGTCCTTTCCTTGGGAACCATCAGGGGCTGCGTGTTGAACAAAAAGCAGCAAATTTACTATTATGTGCATAAACTGTGCAACAAACGCATGATATTCCCATGCATGGCATGTGCAACAATCCTGTCGCAGTTTACGCCCCACAAACCAAGCAGGTGTTGTAGGAGAGCATCGGCAAAGCGGTTGTTTGCAGGGCATCAGCTGAAGACCCGCCGCCAAGCCGTGTAGGCACAGCAAGCTCGGGAATTTCACCAAACACACCCAAGC